AAAATGCATCTTATTTAATAACAAAGAAATATACTTTACAATCAGCATCAAAGTTAGACACATCAGGAAAAGGGGATCCATCCTTCTCGAAGCTCTCTTTTTTTGAAGATCTTATTGCCAAACTAAAGTACAGGATTGACAACAGCCTTCTCAGTGCTTTCTTTATCCTCATGCTTGAGTTCCTCATTGGGGGTGACTTCATCTCGCTCAACTCCTTTCAACACCTCAAATTTATTCTCCATCTCTCTTTTTCTTTTTCTTTTTCTTTTGCTTTGGTTGTAACCAACCAGAATTTTGACCTTTGAGGGCCTTGACTTCTTTGTGTAGAGCTTCGGTGGTTACAAGGTTATACATGATGCATGTATGCATGAATGCATGAAGATGGAAATGTCATGCAAAATGCAATCACGCAACACAATATCGTGAAATGCAACTAATGTTATATTCTATCATGATTCGATCGGGACTATTCAAAATGGAGATTGAAGAAAGGCTTTCAAAGATGGTTGAAAGTAGTTATGCATGAATTCAAGTCTAAGTTGCATAATTCACCAAGATGGATGATTTTGAGTTTGTTTTTGATATTCCATGAACTAGGGATTCTGCTATTTGAGTTTTGTTTTTAAGATGGATGATTTTGAGTTTGTTTTTGATATTCCATGAACTAGGGATTCTGCTATATCTTATATTATGATGTATTTAAGTAATAGAAGAGTTGGATTGCATTTGCAAGAATCAAAACGTGCTTTATTTTGTAGCCAAATATTTGGAATGTCCCCTTTTCTTTTTGTTTTTGAATCCCTTTCTTTTCGCCTTAAGCATAATAGTACTTGAACAGGGTCTTTTATTTATATACAATCAAGGTTTTTCTCTTTTTGATTTTTTTGATTTTTGGCATTTTTGATGATTTTCAATTTTTCTTGAGACATTAAAAATATTTGGCTCAAAATAAATAACTTCATATATAACTCTAAAGGTTGGCTTCTTACAATAACCCCATTTGGACCTATCGAGGTATTTATACTTTTTTTTTACTTAAGCCTAAGACCTTTGATATGGTCTAGCATCCTCTAATCCCCTATTTCCATAACGCAGTTTTGCGCATGAGGGTAAAGCGCGTCTCCACACCTCGGAAGAGTGCATGGCTTCAGGTTGTACTTGCTTGATTTCAAGCGAAATTTGATGGGCCTCTCCTAGGGGTCTTCATAAGTTGGTGTTTGAACCAGAGGAGCTTTTTCCTCAGGCACTTGAGTTTTGACCTTATATTGGAACGTCAACCTTGGAGAGAGCTCTTTTGGCTCGCTTTGATTCAAGCGCTTCTCTTAGGTCTTTCCCTTTTCAACGTTTGGAATAATGCGACTGAAACATGATAGAATACTCCTATATGATTACAACAAAACAAGTTAAGTGGTGCATGAATAAAGCACAACACAATCATAGCAATTATATACAAACAAAGGGGACGAGAGTTGGAAAATGAATGATCTCCATCCACCCTTATATCTCCCACACACGATTCAAGGTCATAGTTTTTTCTAAACCTTAGGACATAAACCATCATGGGATTTTGGACTGATGCCTCTCTCATTTATTATATGGATGCAAGAATCATAAATTATTATGGTAATCCTAAAGGAAGGAACTAAGGTCAATTACATGGGCTTAGGTCGGGTTTATTAAGTCTTGGGTTCCATAAGCGAGAATTGGTTGTTTTCTCCCATTTGCTTTAGGTCTAAACATAATGGTGATAACAGATTATGCCAATTATTTTAATATACCAAATGGTACTTGACTTATAGGTGGTGTATATTAATTAGTGGCGGATCCAAACAATTGAGTCAAGTAGAGTAAGAGGATCACGACCCCCAATATCACCTTTAGGGTTTAAGTAGAAAGGAGATTAAGAAGAGAATAAATGCATGAATGACATTTATAAGTATGAAAAGTAAACTCAATTTAAAGTTAATAACATTATTAAAAATTGTAAATATTTGGACAACTTTCAGAGTCAATTCACTTATTCGAACCCAAAATTGAAAATAAGATATTCTGGGTTCGATCTCCAGCAAAGTCGCCAGGTTGAGGACGATTGATTTTTCCCAAAAGATTGGAAAGAATCGAATTGAACGGGCTTGATTTATTTTATTTTGAAAAGATGGTTTTCTTTTATTAAAACCGTTTAATCCTCGGAAAATGGTTCCCTTACTTTGGTTAGGGTTTTATTTATTTTGGAGTCGCCACCCTTATTAGGGAAAATTGTCGAATTAATTGATTCTTTGAAATGGACTAATCCGGTTTTAAACCAGAGATAGGATCCGGGAATTAGGTAAGAAATGGGAAGGTGTTAGGCACCCATTTCGCCCGGCTAAGCCAACCTCCTAGTTGTCCATTAATTCACAATAATTTAATAATGCAATTAAATAATGCAATTAACTAAAAAAATTACGACTGTAAAACGCTATCTATGCATTTTTTGAAAAAACATATCAAACCATGGATAATATAGGAATATCATACATTCAATCTCATCCCACATACAACATGATTAAACATCCAAAGAAGGAGAAAATAGAATACAAACCAATCCCCTAAAATACAATCTACCCTCAAACCCTCCAAATTTTCCAAACCCAATCTATCTATTACAAACAAGCTATAATGCGAATCCCATTAAGGACCCCTTACATTTTGCAATAAAACTTAAATCATGAATTCAAACCACAAACAATGAACATAAAGAATAACAAATATTCACAGAAGGTATATTAGTAATAAAATCACAATATAATCAATCATTCAACAAGCATGAATATGATGAATGTAAATGATACGAGATTAATAAATAATGGGTTAGCATAATAACAATGAATATTAAACTAAATAACAAGAATTTAAAGGACATAAATAATAATGAACAGAAATAGTAAAGTGTTTGTAAAGTAAAAGGCAATAACCAAATGATAGAAATTTAAAGATTTTGATAAGATTTGAGCTCATGATCTTGATGTTCATCCTAAAAAGATGAAAAAATCCACCAATCATTGCTCTCAAATCACGTTTTATTTGTTATTTGATCTATATATGACCTAGTATGCATCATGAACCTTTTAAGTTCAGAGCTTGGCCACAAGATCACTGAATCAGGACCTTTATTGGATTTTTATTCATTTAGAGCCTCTGAATTGAAAGGCCTTGCGCCACAAGGGACTATAGTGCGCGCCTCATGCTTGTGGTGCATGCCACACGTAGTAGCGCAGGTTCTTTCCCAGATCAGGAAGGCTTTTGGTGTTTCTTAGATGAAAACAGGGGACCTGGGCACTAGTGGCGTGAGGCACTAAGAAGTGGCGCATGCCACTCTTGCTAGCGTCATGCCATAGAGGTGCAAAACCCTTGTTGGGTTGATCCTTGGTTTTCCTCATAACCAGACCCAGAAAAGGTGTCTTAAATACCAAAAAAAGAAAAAAAAGATGAGAACATAGATTAAAGGTTCTCAAAAATTACCTTTAGTGGTTTGACTTGGAGATTAAATGAAAAATGGATGGAGTACCCGCTCACCCTCGAAAACCGGGATGTCCGGGATCGCCCCCAGAGTGTTCATCTCTGGTGTGTAGGCGGAAGCTGGGATCTCGAGAAGTTGAGACATTTTGGCTGAAGTTCAGAGTGTTTTCGGGAAGCTTAGAGTTTTGAAAAGTAAAAATGAAATGTTTAAGAAGCTTACTTATAGTAAGCAATGGGCCTTAATAGTAAGCAATGGGCCACAAGCCCATTACAATTCTTAGCCCCACAAGGGGCCCATTAACCCCTTCAAGCCCACAACGGCCCATAAACGGCCCATTTAAGCCCATGGTGACCCGTTCAAGCAATTTGACGTCAGTATGCGGTTCGTATATTTCAGCAATTTTGTCTACTCGCCGCACAGGGGGCTGGCGCATCAAATTGCCCAAATTACCCTCAGGTAAGTTTTCTTTCAAACACTGCATCAGGAAAGGTATACATGAGAATTCAGGCTTAAAATTTTTCTGACCTAAATTTTTGCTAAATTTTTGCAAAACTTTTAAACTAAAATTTGACAATAAACATTAAAGGTCTGCCTAAAAAGCTTATTTTTTTGTCCTAGGTCGGAATTCTGGACTGGGGGCAAAAGTATAATCTTTTGCCCTGATGTAAAATTTTAAAATTTATGATTAATGCGTGGGGGCATGTGACGTTCCAACATGTTTTAACAAAAGGCAAGATCTGTTTGTACACAGAAATTGCTCTTTTTCTCTTAAATAATTTTTCAGGCCAACCGGTGATGGTTTTTTCGAAGCCAATAGGTCCCACCGAATAGTGATGGTGTATTATAAAGCTGTTTGGATCGTTTTTCTTGATTAGTGATGATGTATTGCGAAGCTAATCGAGTCAATCCTCTTACTGATTAGTGATGATGTATTGCAAAGCTAATCGAGTCAATCCTCTCAAAGCTAATCGTAGTCCAATCCTCTAAAACTGATTAGTGATGGTGTATTGCGAAGCTAATCAGGAAAATTTCAAATGACCAAGCGGTGATGGTTTCTCGACGCCGATAACGGTCTCATCAAAGCAGGTGATGGTGTAATTACGTATTACGAAGCTGTTTGGACTCTCTTCCTGTTTAATGATGGTGAATTACGAAGTTGACCAGGGCAATTAAAACCCTTCGAGCCAATCAAACCGAGCCTCGAAGATATCTTCATAGCCAATGAGACCGAATTTCCGAGGTCGTTACCGATCCGACTAGAGCCAACAAAAGCCGATCAAACTGAGCTGAGGAGGTGGCCAGATGATTAAGTTAAACCAACATCTTTCAAGCCAATCAAACCGAGCTTTGACGATGATTACCAGATTAAAGGCGCGTCAATGGACCACTTTAACATTAATCGCTTATACAATTAATGATAAAGTTGGGGGGGGGGGGGCAGTTGGGGGGGGGGGGGGCAAAACTGTTGACGCATGTCTTTATATGCCCCGGCATAACCGCGATGAGGATACAAGGGACGGCGAAAATGGAGGGATGCATGTTACCGGTAAGTCTTGTAAACGCAGGATTGATTTAACCAAATAGAGAGTGGGCTGATTTTAAGTAGGTTGGCCGTCACGCAGCTATTAAGGTGCGTGAACGGCACTGATAGTTGCGTGCACGGGCAACTCCAATTAAGGTGATGTCACCAGATTGAAAGGCCGACAAAAATAACTGGTTTTACATTCTGTTTGTTTGGATACGTGGCAACGGTCCAGAAAGTGAGCTGCGTCACACAGCTCTCGGGTCCGTCACGCAACTGTTAGTTGCGTGATGCAGCTATACTCTGGTTCCCTACCCATATAAATACTGCGTTTTTATCTTAAACAGAGAGGATTTTTGGGAGAGGAATTTTAAGAAAAAATACACTCGCGGCTGAGGTTTTC